GACGTACGGAAATATTTTAATGAAGCAACGGAGCTCTCCTTCGATAACGAACAAAGAAAGAACACAGGTAGAACTGATAAATCTCTAATGAATCTCTGGATCCACGTGAATCGTTGTGTTGAATGTCGGTGACCTGGGACAAAATAAAGTATTTCTTCGGAGTACTTCGACTCACTTTGAAAAAATGGAGCACGCGAGTCAACGAGATTACGGACAGCCAAAGATCACGTTCGGAGCGATGGCATCGATCGACCAAACCGCGAAAAATTTCCAATAGTCGATCACTCACAGTCATTCACTACCCAGCTCGCAGCTGTTGACTGCAGCAACAGCAGTGGAGCAGTGCAACGAATCGGTCGAACGCTACGAACTTGGCCGCGTAATGTGGCAGGTTGGTAATCTTGGAGCGGGGGAAACCCGCCAGGGGCGTAGCGAAGTAAAATCCCGGAGTATACCGAGATCATTGACAAAAAATTCATGTTATTTATTGATAAATCTGTTTTTTATAATTGAATTTTTTTAAAACGTGCTTATACTTAAGCAAACAAATTAAAGAGAAACAAGTACGTTTGTTATCTGATAAAAGGAAAGTTCTAGCGCGGTTCAGTAATAAAAAAGCTTGACGATTAGTTAATCGCCGATTAAGTTAAATTGGTTGGAATCAAAAGAGTGACTTTGAAGAGTGACTTCAATGGATTTAAACAACAATCTTATCAAGAAATAGATATAATATCTGAATATATAAATTAATTTTTGTAAACGGCAAAAAAGACCAGATCGAGTCTTATGATGTGACCGAAAAATTTTCAATAATTTACGTAATAATGTTTTGTTGTTTTACATTGAAAATGACCCGATCGGTGTCGAAACGTTTGTATATGTACGTTTATTAAATATCTTTTATTTATTGATTTATTCTAATTGAGCCATATTAACAATTATTTTTAAAATATTGATTTAATATTACAAATATTAAATAAAAATTAAAAATATATTTTAATATTGTCTACTGCAGATCGAACAAATGTTCTTCTAATGACTCTAACTGCGCTGTGTACATTTCAGAAAAGTCTTCGCCTACGACAAGAAAGGCTGAAGCTGATCGAAGTTCTCCGTACGTCATCACAGCGGGTGGTATCAGTCATTACAAAAGATAAACGTTCTGCTAACGTCGAGAAGTCTGCGCGCGTGCCTTGGTTCACGAAAAGAGACCGTGAGACGATCCTGGGAGATCCCCGGGTTTATCGTCGTCGTATCAAATTGCGCGGAATACGCGCGACGTCCTTCATCCTCTTGTGTCCCTCTCCCGCCCTCTTCATTACAAAATGTCTTTCACGCATATCATAATTTGCACACATTATTATTCTGATATATCGCAAATTCCACGACATTCGACACAGATGCAGTCAGCGGTTGAATGTAACGATGTGATATATAATACGTAATACCGAACGAATATAAACGTAATAAAACAGCTGCAAAAGAAATTAGATTAACGGTGATTATACTGGCATAATTTTTAGAATTATGAGATTTACAAAAAGGAAATTAATTCAATCTTATGTTATGTTAATATCGATAACTAAAGTTAAGAAGATATATATATACATATATGTATGAAAAGTGTTTCACTATAAACTTATCACTGCTGAATTTTTTTTAAAAGAAACAAACTTAACAAGTATAATATTAAATTAAATATTTTGAACTGAACTTCGTGGATATATTTGTGATCGCTTATAAAAATTATGTATATTAGAGAACGAAAGAAAGATTTGTGTATATATATATATAATTTATGTCTAATTATATATAGATATTTTGACGTAACAAAAGTTGTAACGTTTATAACATAAACGCACATATATCGAGTTATTAGTGACCAGAATTAGTTATTATTCTTTTATTTACATTATGAGCAAAAAAGACCTTGAAACATCTTTTAGAAATGCATTTTGGCTAGGAATTTTACTACAATTAGCAGTAAAAGCACTATCTTTAAGTATCCATAAATAAAAATACTGTAATTCAAATATGAAACAAGAAAATAGCAAAATCGAAATGTTCTTCTCGAAGAGAAGAGTCCGAAGCGGTGTCCTTTTAAAAAATATGTGCATTTTATTCGATAATGTGAAGAGATAATGCTTTGCCTGACAATTGCCACGTAACTGATATTTATCGACATTTTAGTATTCCACGATTAGATACTGCAGATGATGAGATTCATTTTTCTAATCTATCTCGCTGCTGGGCACCGAAACTAAAATAGTTTATAAAAACGCTGAGATATGTTATCATCACGTAGAGTAAAGAACGTAATGAAGATAATTTCAATTAGATTACCTTATCCCCGTTACATAGAAATATATATAAGGGAATATTACACAATTAATATAAAAAAACAAATTTTTGAAAATAAGAAAATATATTACATAATTAGTAGAAGAACGAATTTTTCGAAGTATGAAGTGACAGATCGAAGCTTTTAATCGCAATAAAATAATTAAGTGGTGTGATAACACATACGTATGCGATTGCATGCTTTATTAGCCTACTTCTTTGTTTTTGTGTAAAAAGTCAAGAGAAATTACGCTGTTATATCCATAGATACGTAATACGATAAAACAGAAATGCGCGATAATAATGCGCGACAACTTGTTATTTTTACATTGTTAGGTGTTTTCCACGAGAAAATAAAATACGGAATAAAAATGCAATTAAAGCGTAAGTCTAGCTCTTATAATGATCGTTGATTTTTAAATTTAGTATAATGTCAGCAAAAGAGGCTGACAGAAAGAAACAAACGATAAATATAAAAAGCACGATTTTACATAAATCTACAAATTAGTTAACACTAATTTTTATTCTAGAAAAATGTACGAGGGAATTTATGAGAAGGACTATGGAATTATTATTAATTTAAGGAAATAATTTTTTTAATGCAATGGTCTTTTGATACTTCGATGAAATTCCGGTTGACTACATCGATCATCAAATTAATAATATACTGTTATACTGTTACTTATTACTAGCAACTATTATCGAGAATTATAACTGTAGTAATATTATATTGTTATCAAATTTGGATAATATTAACGGTGAATGGATGAAATGATTATTTTTATTAAGTAGTAATTTTACAAGAGCAATAATAATATTTAAGATCCTAATCAACTTAATTGATACTTATCTAATCGTTCGCAACTTGTTTGCTGCAGACACTATTGTTTAGAAATGAAACCGGACAATTATAATTATTCGATTAAAGAGCTATTACAATCGTCAGATAATTAGAAATATATTATGATATAATATATAATAATAATAAATATATAATAAAAATATATATAATAATAATAAAAAAGATCTAAAAAGTATTTAAGTTTCTGCGATGTATATTCAAATTAGAATTTTTATGAATGAATGCAAATTTGTAATGTATATAATATACATTAGAAACTTACATATTCTTTTATGATATATTTGTAATATTAATTTATAAATATTAGAGGAATTTTTCGAAAAGCATATATCCTTTTTTAGTGTAAAAAAATCTTACAAAAAACATTCATTACTTGTTAAAAAAATTGACCAAAATTGTTACACTATACTATTGTTAGTAACCGTTTAATTGAATAATGATTTTAATAATTGGTTACTTTGAAGTAATTGTTTAGCGAAACAATCTGTTTGATAAAAATAACTAAACTCCGGCAGAATTGTATTAAAACAAGATTTGATATACTTATATGTAACTCGTTATTCATAATCTTTTTAATCCTTCTGTGTGTTAAAAAACAATAAATTAATAATTTTCCTCATATTAACCAAATACAAACGTTATCTTGGCAAGATAATTACCAATTACATTAATCAAAGTCGAAATCATCCTTTAAAAACGTTTATGATGAAAGATCTTTCATTTCTGATTTTAATTTTTATCGATTTTCAGTAATTCGCTGGACAGATCTATTAGTAGCGTTCGATTTTTTACTTTACGACATTGTAACAATAATAATGAAAAATCTTTGACTCTGTGTGATTCATCTGGGTAATCCCGGAAACAAGGAAATCTCGAATGAAGGAAATATATTCGGAATATATTGACTGACGGAAAATAATTATATTTTGTATATTGTGTCTTGAAATAGCTTCTTTTGCAGACATTTAAACTTGACACTTTTTGTTATCTGTTTCTCGCTTTTTTTATCTCTTGCCTTTTTTCTTATTTGCAATCGTTTTGTTAACAATCTTGTTTCGCACATGTTTCTTCGAGTGCTTCTTGTCTTTTTCGAAGATTATTAATTAACTTTTAACTCGGGCGACAGAAATAAAGGAAGATTAAGATAAGAATTGTAAAAAAATAAGAGACAAAACGCTGTAAAAAGCTATGAGGAACAGGAAACGAAGAGGAATATTATAGAGATTAAACTTTGAAGTGTTTCCATACATTATTATATCTGCACTCATTTGCTAGAATACCTAACTTAAAATAATTTAAATTATCTTGTTTAGTTGCTCGAGAAAAAAGAGAACGGAAACATAAAAACAAAAAGAGAAAATATGCTTTAAAAATATATATTGTATTTCTCTATATAATTAATCATTACATCAAGATTGATTCTCAAAATTAATATAAAATTTTAATAATTCGAAACACATTCAAACTCATTTTCTGGAAAACTTTGTTTTTTTAATTGTGTCAAATGATCATATTATATATATTTACATAACTGATAAACAAAACAAGTTACAAGATTCCAAGAAGTTCTTCTGAAGTTAAATTGTTTCCCTCTAACAATAAGTTACAAACGGAATAAACAGAGTTATAAAAGTCAAAAATTCTACGCGTGCATGAATAATTTATTTATTATGAAAGTATCATCATAAATGTTTATTCAGCTGCAGATAACATATTAGCGTTTGACAACCTTATAACGTTGTAGATAGCTTCAAAGAAAATAAAACTAAGATAATAAGTCGAGCGGATATTAATCATCGTTACGCCTTGATGTTAGAAGGGACCGTGGAGATGACTCCTGTTAGTTCCTGCTCTTTAAAATCTCGACAATGCTCGTGAATGCGTCATCCACCTCACGCATTCTCTCCTACCCCGCCCGACCAAACTGGTCCAAACTCTCACCGGCGCGGGAGGCAGATACCGCACGTAGTCATCGCGTGTATCCGCCGTGATTTTTCGTGGTACTCTCACTGTGGTACTCGCGAGCGTCCGGACGGCTCGATACTCGGGGAAAGTACTTCGCGAAGAGGAGAAAAGGACTTCGGGAAAGTCGTAGAAGTTTGGGGAACCGTCATTGACGGCGCATTCATTCACGCTCGCGAGACAAGACCTATCAGGCCGATTTCCAGGTCACCAAGGGTGTGGTGCGAAGATAACGCGCGACTCCGTCACGCGCCGATAAGGGGATCCCTTGAGTCGCGTTCGTGCCTTGATCGAGAGTGAAGGTGACTCGGCCTGAAGTAAAAAAAAAAAAGAAAAGATTATTCTTCTGATCTCCGTGGAGAGGATCCTCGACGAGTCAAGTACGTATATCCTTCGGTAGATCGTATGCCTATCCTCGACAAAGGATAAGTGTAATTGAAGCGACAATGATAGTCCGGCGACGTCTCGTGAGTCACGAGAGTCGTGTCTGTTTTTTCCCTTTCAGTCGCACCTTCACTCACTCTCTCTCTCTCTCTCTCTCTCTCTCTCCCCCTCTCTCTTTCTCTTCTCCGGGCTTCCTCTCTTTCTCTAGACTAGGACAGACCACTGGATCTTCTCTCTCTCTCTCTCACTCTCTCGAGTGTAGAAAGTGCGAACGTCGTGCTCGAAGTGCTCGTGCAAGCTCCAGGCTACAGGGTCGTTGCCATTACGCGACTGCTTCTGCTGTCAAAGTCAAAGCTGGTCAAACCCGTAGTTCGATCGAATCCGAATGGCTCCCGTTTGATTTTTACAAGCCACCTCACACCGAGGATACTGCAGTTCGTGTTCGAACCTCCTGGGACTGGTGACTCAGGTAAGGTCGACGACAAAAGCGGCGTGGAGAAACCGAAAACAGATGAGGTCAATTCTAGATTTTGAAATGTAAAAATTTTTTTAAATAAACAAATTTAGGTGTTGACCGTGAATATTCTAGTACATTCGCTCACTTTTGTGATTTTCATCCCGTTCCAAGATACAGAATCGACCTCCAGATCTCAAATAAACTTAACCTATCGTTGTCGCAAAAGGTTATCTGATAATTTAGGTCAAAGTAGAATTGTTTTGTGTTATTGAGTTTCTTTGTGCTATATTGTCCAAAGGAAGGATAGGAAGCACTCATTTTCCTTCAACCGAGAGACATTAAAAAAAAAAAGAAGGATGGCGAACCTGGGCAATCTGGAGCAGCAGATCTCGAGCCTGCAGATCGGCGATGAGGCGGCCAAGGGTACCGCCAAGCCCGGCAAGAAGGTTGGACCTGCGGTGCCGCCGAAGCCGAAGAAGTCTCAACCTCAGGTGAATCCTAATCTCCTAAATGTAAAATCATATTTGTCTCTACTCGTCATACATACTAACAAGAGTTTCCCCATTCGTACGCATCCCCAAACATGGATGCAAAAATGGTAACGAGATCCTTATATTCGAGCAACGAGGACCATCCACGAAAACTCTAACTAATGACCTATTTGTTTCAGATACCGCAAAGTTATACCATAAAGACTCCGCCTGTGCCATCGTACAGTACGGTCCTTAACAATATGTCCAGCGACAAAACCTCGAACTTGTACATGAACGCACCTTCGCCGTATGGCCCGCTGGATATAAAGAATGACTTTTCGCAGATAACACCTGCGAACGGTAAGGAGGCGTCGAAGATTTATCAGAACAATGACAATTTGTACACTCATCAGCCAGAGGAGAAGTTCGAGCCGAAGTACAGATACGACGAGAAGAATTATTACTCCAATATAGGGAATATGCCGGCACCTCAGGTACCTGTGGCGGATGATCGCGCGAACAGGGCGACTAGAAACGCAGTGTACAGCAATATAGAACCACCAGTAGGCTCCACATACGAGTACGTCCCATACGAAATGAATAAGGAAATTATATATAGCAACATTCAGTGGAATCCTAAAACGGAGAATACATATTGTAACGTTCCTGCACATGGGGCTGGTAAGAATCTTTCTAATAGCGAATTTGGTCACTTACATTACACTTGATTAGTGCATCTTAAAAGCGAATATATATGAAATTAGCAAAGTTAAATGTAGAAGCTTATATAAATATTTTAAATGATTAAATGCCTAAAAATGATATTGTTAATAAAATGTCACGTTATTTAAGACAAAACACGATATACATATTTCGTTATTTCATTATCAAAATCATATTATGCCATTGCATTTAGATACTTTATACAAAGCAGCCTTTAGTGTGTACTAATACAGTGTAGTGCGAGTAACTGAATTCATCATAAATCTGAATAAAAAAATGCTAAATGAATTCTTAGTGAATCATATATGGAAAGAACGATTTTGCTGAAGTATTTAAAAATTTAGCTATATATAAACCTGAAAATAATTATGCAGGACGCTTAAGCATAATAAGCAATGCTGCAAAAATTGTAAATTGATAAAAAAGTGTCTGAACCTCTTTGAGGAGTTGAAAATAAGATCCTGTTTTACAGCCATCTTTTGGTAAATCAGTGGAGTATTTCGATCTTTTTGCTTGCAGACGATTTGCCACCACCACCGGAGCCGTCAGAGTACGTTTCCTGCGTACCCGGGAATTCGTTTCCACCGCCGCCAGACGAGCTGCCTCCGCCACCGAGTCCCGTCTCGTCGAGTTACAGCGAGTTGAGACGTGCTACTTACCAGACCGATTTTCCATCCGGCAACTATCCTGCTGATATCTATGGTCCGAGTTCTCAGTCCAGCTCAACGTACGAATCCATATATGAGCCGATTAATCCCAGACCACCGTCGCAATTGTCATGTAACTATTCCATGTACTCCGGTTACGGATCAGCTACGTCTACTCAGCCGCAGGGCAAAGTGTCCCCCGTTAAAGAAGTAAGTCTCGAAATTCTATACTGTATGTAAAATTTATTGAAATGCTTTTAGTTGTTGAAATGTAAAAATGAAAAAATAGACTTCACACTTGCATGTTTAATTCGATTATTATATCTAAAGTAATTATATCTCATTGCAAATTGTTTTATTTATTTGTAATAAGACAGAAAGAAGAAAGTGTAATTTAATTTAAAAAATTAGATTAATTTTGACAATTATTGATTACAATTATAAAGTAATTGAACACAATTGTAAAGTAGTATGTGTATCTGAAATTAAACGATTGATTTTATCTACAGGTCGACGTTCTTACGGATCTGTTAGTTCAAGGAATGGAGGATAATAATGAAGACAGTGATATATATGGCATCTGTGCGCAATGCGGGCGCAAAGTAGAGGGAGAAGGAACCGGATGCTCGGCGATGGATAAAGTCTTTCACATAAATTGTTTCTGCTGCTTCATATGCAAGGTCAATTTACAAGGAAAACCTTTCTACTCGTTGGAAGGTAAACCTTATTGCGAGGAGGACTATCTCAATACTCTGGAAAAGTGCTGCGTTTGCACCAGACCGATACTGGATCGAATATTGAGAGCTACTGGCAAACCATATCATCCTTCGTGCTTCACCTGCGTTGTCTGTGGACAAAGTCTCGATGGTATACCGTTCACTGTGGATGCTACGAATCAAATACACTGCATTCAGTGTTTCCACAAGTGAGTTTACCCCGATTTCTTTTGTTTGCTTCTTCGATTATTATTCAATTCTGGTTAACTAATTCACATTCTTACATTTGCAGAAAATTTGCTCCGCGTTGCTGCGTCTGTAAGCTGCCTATAATGCCCGAGCCTGGTCAGGACGAGACCATACGAGTGGTAGCACTAGATCGCAGTTTCCACATTCAATGCTATAAGTGCGAAGATTGTGGATTAGTATTGTCATCCGATTCGGAGGGACATGGCTGCTATCCCCTGGACGATCACATTTTGTGTAAAAGTTGCAATGCTACCCGTGTCCAAGCCTTAACGTCTCATATGACGACCGAATTATAAATATATAGACGCGACAAGCTTATATAATTTGTTGAAACTTCGGGAATACGAATGAAATGTTAAATCAAGTATCGTTGTGATTAACTGTAGCGAAATAAGTACCGCTATATACACGGTATTATCGGTGTTATCAGATCTAAACCGCGCAACGCCATGCACACAAAAGCCGAGCGCACACGTACGTCGCTTGGCTTTTGTGTGCGTGGCGTTGCGCAGCTCGGATCTGGTAACACTGGGTATTATAGGTCCTTTTTTATGCGTACATGATTTTTCTATTCCGCTATTATTCACACCTTATATATTCAAAACCGATATTTGCTATCCCATTATATTAACGAAGAATCATTTTTTAACATTTTATCTATTAGCAGACTAAGGAAATTATGCTGTCCATATTTGGATCTTTTTTGGCACGAAAAGGAAACAATTGTCAATGATTATTTATATTCTATTAATCTTTAACAGTTAGAGGATCAATGCAATAGAATTCCGCCACTGCCATGACTGAAGCATTTTCTCCGTACATTATGAAACAATGTTGGCAAATTAATAGTAGATATAAGTTTGACGTCCGAGGTAATTTTCCTGCAGATGTGATTATCATTGTGATTCTAGTAAAGTATTCGATGTATCGTAAAGTATTTAACGTGTAGTTTATCGTCGACAGGAATACCGCTTCGATCCATTTATTTAGAGATTATTTAGAGATTAGATTTTAGATTCGGGAAATAGGATTATTATTGACAATATCGGTATACCGGCGAGAAAGCGTGCCATTTCTTCTTGTAAACGTATCTGTTAAACCAGTTAAACAGATCCTTGCAAGACTATCGAGAAAGGAAAGATAAACGCTCAATCCCAAACACCTTACAATGCGATTAATTCCCGAACTTTTTCGCATGGGTAAGACATTACATCGAGGAGAGACTTGTATGATCTCTGTATTATAGTATCAATAAAAATACAGTTTGTTATTTATGGCCAAAGAGTAACACTTCGTTTTTGCCGACCGTTCTTGCCCATCCGATGATTTTCACTACGCATGTAGACACTGCACTTTTAGCCTGCACTTACCGAATGACATCGGTTATGATCGAGCTTTTTATGTTTCACTATTTTAATGAAAGTTGCTATTAATATATATTGTTATATTACTATTGTGATTGTTATTAATAGTTATACACGATGGCTCAAACTAACGTACTTCCTTCCAGTTACAGATTTTCTCAAGAATTCGAAGTTTCTTTCTTAGCAAAAAATTCAATTGCGAGCACGCAGTTTTTTTTACAATTTGTAATATTTAACATTACCTATATTGTTATTTTGTCAGAGCTGCTTGAAATTAAATAAAGGATAAGAGTTTTTCAAGAGATAAAGTTAGATCCTTATTTCTCCGAAAATTAAAATAAAATTTTTATTTCGGTAACTATTAGAATATTTTTGCTGTTGAAAAGCCAATTTCAAATTTACGAGAAAAACTGTAGCCGAAACGAAGTCCGCGATTATACAACCTGTAGACATATGGTGTGTGTACATATACATAATTATACACACACACACACCAGATGTATATATGTACACATTAATATATAATTAATTATTATAATTGCAGAAGAAATTTACAGCAGATTCATTCTATATCATCTCTTTACTAATTTTTTTTCTCTATGATTTTCATGCACAGATGTTTGTCTTTTATTATTATTAACATCTCTTTTTAGATATTTGCATCTCTTTTTTTATATGCGTAACATATTTTTTATTACCATAGAGTACTTAAATCTTATATAATTTTTGTGATATATATATATATATATTATATATAACCGTTATGCCATTTTGTATAATTTATGTTTATTAATACATAAATTTGTCTCACCGGCACACGTGAATCGTGGAACGCGTCCTTCTATGTTTCTTCTCGGTGAAATTAACAATACTACCGATTCTATACTTATCTACACGGAGGTATATCAAATTATAATTCCACGATGGATACATTGTGCATCAATGTATTTGGCGACAGTGCGAATCTAGAAATAATTCAGCTCATCTAGAAATAATTCGGGTAAGCCGCAAAGCATTTGAAATTGTCGTCCACAGTAAACAAATATAACAAATACTTATTATCATCCGATGTATCCAATGTGCAAATAATCTTGTCGTCGACTCGCGGGAAATGTCTCACGTTAATAATACCTTGCATTAAGTCGCGGTATTTATTGCGGAGCAACGTGGCTCCGCTGTGAGATAATAAATTAACACAGATTGTCACGAAATTCGCACGCTTATCAAATCTCGTCCGGCAATTTTCGCAAATGCGCGGTCGGAAATCAGGACGAAATTCCACGATCCGAAATGCACTCTTTGCTGCGTATGATACATTCGTAAATCCTATACTCTTTACTACACATAGCTCTGGTGTCTATCTTAGACTCCTCTGTTTTTCTTTTTATCCTCTTTAGATTAAAACTATAATATATTTTATGTAATATATATTTTATCATATTTTCTTTAATCAAGTACAGCACCATTCTACGTTAAATTTAGTACAGGTTCTTAATACTCGGTTTTAATCTAACAATATTCGTTCGATTTGTTAGCTTTGTTGTACCAAAGTCAACATAGAATTGCACTTTTTTTTAAATAATTATCGCTCTCTCTTTTTCTCTCTCTTTCTCTCTTAAATAGATACACGTAATTTACACACACACACACACGCACGCGTGCGCGCGTGTGTATGAAATTGCGTGTGCCCGTATGAGTAGATACACGAGCCATACTACTCACATGTAAATCTGTACTTGCACGCAATAAATCACAGCCACCTATCCAAATTCGCGCGCGAGCACAAATACATACGACTAAATAACGCATATCTTTTTTCGCATTTACATCCTAGATATCTTCGGTATATGTTTTATCATCTCGCTATGACTTATATATACATATATATATATATAATTATATATATGTATATATATTACGTGTATATGTGCATATCGATACACGCGTACGTGCGTGTGCGTACTTATATAGAAACGTATGCACTCACATTACGGATATGTACACATACACATATTGCTACACATACGAGGATGTCCTCTTTCGCGTTTTGTCTATACGTAGTACTAAAGTGCCATAATAAGCTGCATTCTCTTTCACTCTCTTTCTCTCTATTTCCTCTCCCTCTACTTGTGACACTCATTCACACGATTCGCACACTCGCAACACTTCTTCATTCATTCCTCCTCCTCTCTCTCATCGACATGACGTGACATGACTCGTTTGCTACATTTTAACCGATAGCTCTCTCGTTACGCAGTTACTCTCTCGTATTCGCCGGACCCGCTTACAGCAGCATCATACTTTCACACTTCCGAATTCGCTAGGGCTATAGTTGGGCGCACTAGCATCACACGTGCCCATAAATCAATAAATAAATAGAGGAACAACATTCTTCAAACATCTCTTTTTTTTCTTATATAACAACATTAGAGGCTCTCGGAGAACGTAACGCAACAAATGTTCAACAATACAATCACGAAAACAAATAGAAGGCACTCTTGCTTTTCTTTTTTCTCAATAAATTAATCTCCTTGTGTTATAACAACTCACTCTCAGATATTATCTCTACGGCTTCTCCTAGGCCTTGTCTGTCGCGTTCGCATTTAGCTACCTACTTATACGACGTTCGGATGTCGCTGAAATTCAGATAACACGCGCCACGACAATCACATGACGGCGCTACAAATCTCATCTTTCTTACTTTCTCTCTCTCTCTCTCTCTCTCTCTCTCTCTCTCGAATGGACAATCATAGCTACGGTATGCGAGATACGAGATAACAAATTTGTTTCACATTTACAAGTAAAAGAAATCCACCTTCGTAACAATTAGGTAGAATATTATTTAACCTTTAATATTATAATAATTTAATTATTGTTATTTGCTTGGAAGCTCACAGCCGACACATTTTTTTTTAATTCATTATTATTATTTCTCTCTTCTTTTAATATCTTATCTTATTTTCACTTGGGTATACGGGGCGCTCATCTTTCGTACTTGTGTGGGTCTCGGTTATTATTTTTTTTTCCCCTCGGTATTTAACAGCTACAACATGTACAACATTTAGCGCGGAAATTTTTCAACGAAAGGCATAACGGAATCCAGTTGTTAGTCCGCTTCTACATTCGAAATACGCGGTGAAATATAGATTCACGGTTACTCTAACGAGAGAGAGAAACTATAAGTACGGATAATACCCCCGTGGTCTACGGGGAATAGAAAACGAAAAATCATGGAGATGTGGCAGTGCCTTGAGCAACCGTTTATGAAATCAACCCTATCTCGCCTCCCTGTTACCCTTCTGCTTTGTTTTTCATCATCTTTTTTTTTTGTTTTTGAACACATGACAACACATCGTCTTTGTACGATAACAACGTTATTTTCTCCTTTTTTTTTTCTTTCGGTTCTATCTTTGCTAACTAATCTAGCCTTGCTCGCGAGATTCATGGTTTGTCGAGCCTATCACGCATATAACATTGGATATATTGTAATAGATATATATATATGTATATTATATAACGTAGATATATATATATGTAAATGACGTATCGTACGTATAATATATATCTGTGTGTATACGGGTTTTTGTGTGTATGCGTTAAGATAGAAGTTTTATCTTTGTTAATTCTTTGCTACAGTAGAGAAAAAGGTAGTTGTATCTAGAACAATTAGTTTCTTCCTAGATACGTCTACCTTCTTCTTTCCCTCCACACATATAATTAATAATATATCGTTCTTTGCACGTGTTCATATGATAAATCCTTCATTTATATGAATTCCTGCTCGACCGATCAGCGAACCATGATGATCGAACTGGGAAAGATTTCATTTCTACAGAATGTCTTTAGCATGTCGAGTCTGAGATCACCAGAGAAAGTATACCGTAGCATGTGTATATATTTATATATATGTCTATATATAAATATTTATGAGTGTGTATTTATGTATGTATATGTCGCGTGTCTTGATTTCCGTACTGTTTTTCACAGTTTGCAGCCGTCGTCTTAGGTCGCACGTGGTCTCTCTCGACTTTTATAAGATAAATATTTACTCTTATTACGAAGACAACAAAGAGGGCAAAGAGAACAAAGAAAGGAGGATAGGAAGTGTCTACAGAGTCAGCGCCTGCATCTGATGGCACGTGTCGCTCAGCTGATTCTGATCACCAGCTGCCGGATGGCCAGCCGTCCGCGGTGTACCGGGTGGCGTTATCGGTAATCTTCCAGGACCGTCGCCGGCGCCTCCCAGAGCATCGTCGGCGAGTTTGCTCGCCACCGCTGTGGCCGTAGTCTGCATTATACCGTTCATCTTATACTTGGACTGTCGCAGCATCGTAGTCTGCGAGCCAGTGGTGCTTGAATATTTGTCGGACGGCTTCCGGTTGGTGGACGATAGCGCCTGGCCGACGGAGTATCGGCTGCGTTGATTGCCAGCGGACTGCTGTTGCTGCTGTTGTGTTTGGGACAGGGGCATGGAAGATGGCTGATAACGGTTCTGAGCCGGAGCATAAAACTGGACCTGAAGAGTGGGCGGGGAGAGAGTTGGAAGAGGCCGTGTCATGGGTGAGTACGGAGCTGGCGGTGGGCTCGCCGGCTTCTCCTGGGTGTTGGACGCGTCCGCGTTTATCCGCTCGGATGGAGACAGGCGAGATGACAGCGTCGTCGATGTGCTCGTGACGACGACGGCGCTGTCCGTCTGAACCGTGTCGTTATTAGGCCGACCGTTGTCGTTTCCGTGTACGTCCAACCGGGCGGCGTTTCCTCTGTAGTTGTTGTTATTGTTGTTACTCGAGAGACAATTCTTACGACCCGAGCCATAACCACCGGTCATCGGTTTGTTGATCTCGTAATACTGATCGTCGCCACAGTGCCTCGCGCGTCCGTTCGTCGTATACGAGTAGTTGGACGTAGTGTGATTGATCTTGTGCGCAGCCTGATTCGAAGCGTAGCCGCCGCCGGACCTGAGGATCGCCGACGAGCCCACGTTCGATCCAGCCGTTCTTCTATTGTATTGTACCGGCAATCGCGACGACACCGGTATTGTCGAATATTTGTGCGACCCGTCCGCCGCGTTCCCGCTACATTTATTGTGTGACTGTGTACCGCCGTGTGTGTTCTGCGACTTGACGTGTGTATTGTGGTGTGCCAACGGGTAGCCATAATTCTGTCCCCCCTGGCCGCGTAAATTGTTACCCTGACCGCTCGAGTACTTATTGCAATCTCTGGAATTGTGGCCGTACGTCTTCGCGTTGCTGTTATCGTAACCGGACTGATGCGGCGAAGGTGAGAACGGTGTCGGCAGAAGACTAGCGGTACCAGACGCGTTGTGATGTGTGTATGGTGGTGGCGGGTGTGTGTGCGGAATGTATACGGTTGGGTGATAGAGGATGCGACAGTGCATCGGACTGGTAGTGCAGTCCTCGCTGTCGTTTTGCGCGCTGTGCGGCGTGTGTATCGTGATCGGATGGTAATTAGTATGGTAACGACCGGACATAGGGAATTTGACGGGCATTAGGGGCAGCAGAGATGTTGCCGGTGAGCCTGAAGCAGCCTGTTGCACTTCGCTGTGCGGTTGCTCCGAGTGGCTTGGCGTCGGACGTGAATCCTACGATTTTATTTTATAGAATAATACTTGCCTAATTCAATACATTGAATGAAACGTGCATTTAA